TGCTGCAAGAAGAGACCTTCTTGCTCACGAGACTGGATATTAAAGGGCCATATTCTGAGGAAGCATGTCTTAAACCTGATCACTGTACTGTTCATATTTATAGAGAACAAAATTTTGGGAAAAAAACAGACATTTGCATCTACTGTTATGTAATGTAAATGATTTATGAATAATATGTAATAAGCATTTTTTATAAGATGTAAATAATTATGGCACTGCTGCAGGAATCAGTGGATTGCATAGCATATGTGTCAACAGGGATGGTAAGGGAGAGGCTGAATATCTGTGGACTCACTGTGCATTGAAAACTTTGTTCCTCTGCCTAAGTCTAAAAGGTATAAGGTGTTTTCTTGATGGAAAATAATCTCATAGTCCCTGTATAAAAATATACCTCCATATCTTCAAGTGGGATAAAGTATTCTCTTGTGTTTTGCATTTATTTACGTATCTACTGTGTGTGTGTGTGTGTGTACGCGTGTGTGGAGTGTTATGTGTGGAGGTTAGAAGAAAATACTTTGCAGTTGGTTCTCTATATCATATGGGTTCTGGGTATCAATCTCAGGTCCTCAGGCTTATGAGCAAGTGCCTCACTGGTTAAGTCATCTGCCTAGCCCAATGTTAAGATTTTTAATTTCATAAATTTAATTGTAGTAGTTTCTTTTCCTCTGGGTAGGGTGCTTTGCATGGAAAACCCTATTATTCTGACCCTAATTTCAGCCATCTGGGTTGTTTCTTCAGTATAAGACTCCTAATGTGTGATAATATAAATATTTTCATTGCTCTTGGTTTAATTGCATTTAATATTTGAAAATTAATTTTTTCTTTTTATAAGAGAAGGCTTAGCAATATACATTGAAGGAAAAAAGTAACAATTTTCAATCACATATGTGTGCTTGGTTTTGCGACAATCTGACCACTTTAGATCAATAAAGGAAGTAATGGCTTTACCTGGGGGTCTCATACATTTTTCTTCATCTGAAAGGTCTGTAATAATCACAGGGTCATTACTGTCCTTATGAATTAAATTAGGATTTTTTATTCTCCTTTTCTTTTATGTGGCTCTTTTTATTACTTAACTGGTGTGGCTGAAAAGAAAGCTCTTGCTATTACTAAGGCAAAATGTGTTGTCGCAGTGGTGCCAAGGAAGGGAAGTGTCACAGGGCAGTCATTTTCCTCTTGATTCAGTGGGTGCTGGCTGAGAAATGTAATAAACAGAGTAATGGAATGGATGATGTTTTAGCAAAATGGAATTTTACTGTGATTTATGAAAAGGACATGCATTGATAAACAGCCAGTTGATTACAACTCATAAAATGCAGTAGTTGACAGGCACCTGATTATTTTTCTTCTGCTTGACATTGTGAAGTGATCAGGATTTGGAAGACAGTACAAATTAAGGAAAAAAAGATTATTTAAAAAATACTTAGATTTAAACAGTTAAAACGACAAAATATATAACAAGAATGTGTAAAGATTATGTATGTGCATACCTCGACCCATTTGAGGCTGTTTCTATAGATTTGTTTCTTATGAACTTTAGTAAATTATTTCAAACGATGATTATTAGCAGATTAGCACACATTATTGAGCCAAAAGACAAGATGAACTCGGGTCCTTAATATGCTGCTATTATCTGTTCCATGAAAGTCATTGGTAATCCAAATTACACCTATATTTGCTTAGAAACACATGATGTAAGTGTGCCCCCATGTGGCTATAGAATCACTTGTAAGAATGACTTCAGAAAAAGCACTAGTGGAAAGAGGGTTTTTCAGTGAATAATTATTCAAAAGAAAAATTAATCTGAGACAGAGTTTATAATTTCATCCATAATTACTATAAAGATTTTTTTTCTTTAGCAGGCACATATTTTCACTGTATCCATCCTTATTCTGAAATGATATAGACAACCAAATTAAGTCTTATTTTCTTATGTTCATAATGGTTGGTGAAATCATGCCACTGCTTCAAAATATATTTTGTAATTAAACAGGATGATGAGTCAAGTTAGAAAGTTTGTATTAGGACAGATTCATGGGCTAGAAATATTGATTGATTAATTATGACCTGAACATGAAGACTGATTTTGTTTATAAATTTTGTTCATCAATAGGATATCTGATATTTAGAATAAATATTTGGGATTCTACATAATTCAAAACTTACTTTCCATAAAGCTTCTTTTTAAAATAGAGTTGACCATTTTCATAATCTTTTGATATGCAGGAAATATTACCCAGTTAATAATCCTGTTATCACTCTAATCATCAGCCACAGTATGCAGTTGCATCTGCTGCCCAGTTCATGGTTCTGGAAAAACTCTGCAATGACTGGTTGTTGGTGATCAATAAGATAAGCCCATATCAGATCTTCTGGGTAATGCAGTGTGTTCATACTGGGCAAAATTTATAGATGAATGTCTAATTCAATAAGGATCTGGGGACATTCTCAGGAGGAAGGGACAGATCAAATAACAGAGGATGGACACATTAGTATGTGTGGATGTGTCCGTGCGGCATTTATTTCTGTTTGTCTTTTATTATTTGAACATGCAGGGTCCAGTACAGATCTAAGTTTGCCTCTTTGAGATGCTTTTTGTTTGCTGATTGTCCAATTTGAAGACTGATTTTCCAACTGAAACAATGTTTTAATCTTAGCCAATTTAACACGGCTGTTCTTAATGGGAATTTCTCAACCAAAGTACCTCCTCCCATGTTTTCATTTCATTGCTTTTTAAAAAAAATACAGAATGTTGTGAATCTGTTTTACTCAAACTTTTCCTTTTTGTTAAAAGCTAAAAAGTAAAATAAAAACATAATAAATTGTAAAGATTACAATAAGAAATAATAAGAGCGTTTTTCTCACTACTAAGAATTCTGCCTCAATTAAAATTCATGTTTTAGCAACATTTTTCATTGTAAAAGTTTTTTTATGTTCAATCAGAGGATTTAAAAAGTATCAATACGAGTTCCTCCTCGTCTAACTCCCTCATCCTCCCACTCTTTCTCCCTCTCCCTCTCTTTAGCCTTCTTGTCTTTCTCCTCCTCCACCTTCTTTTACTAAGCTGCAAAACTAGCTGGGCATGGTGGTACAACCTGTAATCCAGCACAGCAGAGATGGAGGCAGAGGATCAGGAGGTCAAGGCCAGCCAGGGCTAAGTAGTGAGTTCAAGACCAGTCTGGGGTACATAGATACTTCCTTAAAACAACAACAACAACCTAACCAAAGAAAAACAAAACAAAACAAAAATGCAGATGCTAAACTAACTTCCAGTTTTAGTTAGGCCATCTGGTATTTTTTAAGTCCTCAGAGAATAAAATGTCTTATCCAAACACTGATGCTTCCTATTTTTTACCCAAATCAAAAAGAATTATGTATTTTGAAATGAAAAACTGAACTGTTTTGACCTCACCAGCAGAAAAAGGAAACTAAAGTTAAGTCAGAATAAAAATGAAGCTAGCAATAATATTAAGTTCAAATTGTGCATTTTTTCTCATTTCTGGGAAATTCTTCATGTACGGAATAGAGAAAAGTAGACTGAAATAGAATAGGAGCAAATGAAGATAAAGCAGCAAATTGCAGCATTTGTTGTCTTATTTTAAAATCCTACATGAATGAACAGTGCCACCAAATGCTATGGTCTTGTAGACATACTGACTCTCAGCCACAAAAGTTTATCAGATATCTGTGCTAAATAATTGCTCATACTTTTATTATCTTTGAAATCAACATGTCTTAATAATTTTAACCTATAAAGAATTTAAAGTCAGAAATGGTGGCACATACTTTTAATCCCAGCTCTCAGGAGGACAAGTAGATGGATCTCTGTGAGATGGAGGCCAGCCTGGCCTACAGAACAAGTTCCTGGATTGGGACTACAGGCAAACCACATCTCAAAAAAAAAAAAAAAAAAAAACATTTAAGTGAATTTCTAGTATAGTTTACTTTTCATGTGATTGTATTATCTTACTACGTTTGTGTTTTTAATTTTTTGGAATGCACTTAGGCACGTACACTCTAGTGAAAACCACTTATCGAATTAAGATGATTCTTCCATGTTAGAATGGGAATGTTTTATGTGTCAGCAAAGCAGTTACACTGAGAGGCAGAGCTACCTGAGTTTCAGATTGGCTGATGGTTTAATTTTTGTTTGCTGCATCACTCATCTCTTGTAAAATAAAATAAAATAAATAAAATAAAATAAAACTCCAAGAAGAGTTAAGAATTTTCTTCACTAACCTAAGAGTCTGTTATATGTTCTTTTTAGAAGTGCAGGGGATGAATGACTATGAGATACACTTTAAGGTATAAATGGTAGATACATAAAATGAAAAGCTATCACTTTTATTGTCATGTGAGTAAAAATGCTTTGGTTTGTAAGGTACCAACTTATGTTCAACAAATAGGCTTTGACCATTTGAATATGAAAGCTGGAAACAACCATTTGGTCCCACTAGAGAAGCTCAATAGGCATCCTGGAAAACCCTCCTGTCTGCTTTCTCCTACTTCCTGCCCAAAGCCACAAAACAGAAAGCACTCTGGTGCTACTAGTTTAATCTTTTTTCTCTTGACATATAGTATTGCCATTAGAAAGCCCAAGTTATCACTTGAACATTGTCTCATGCCACTATGAATAATTGTATATATTTATTTTGCATATTTAAATTCCAATCAAGAAGAATGTGTATAGTGAACCTTTTATCTGTGGCAGCTTGCAGGGGGAGTAACTGAGAAAATGTCTTGTACCATTTCTGTACAGTTTCTACACTCAGACAGGGCTGCATGATTAGTAGAAGTGAGTGGTTTCCAGGGGGAAATTTTACTAATATTCTATACTTTATTCTATAGTTAAAAATTGGCCATTTGCAAGAACTAATTTCCAAGAACATTTAGTAACACACACACACACACACACACACACACACACACCCCACAGAGATACATAATTATAGTTATGGTTGCCAAGATACATCACATTTTAAACCCGAGAGTCTCAGAAACTACTACATGTCCCAAGGAAATTGAAACTTACCAAGATAGAACTAACAATGAAATAAAATATTTGTGTGAAGACATTTTGTTTTATAATGCTAGTTATATTTCTAGATGAGCTAATAGCTATTCATGCTAATCATGCAGCACCTTTTATATTTTGGAAAGCCTACAACCATGAAAAGTGGAAGAAAAATGAGATGACTAGAAAAGCCCACAGTCTTTGAGATTCTCCTTGATTATTATATCTGTCACTGCATCAAACACAAACTTGACATTTTGGGTATCAGTAGCACAAGTCATGTGGGAATAAATTTCCTTATCTTCTTTTTTTAGATTCAGGTCTAGAAACTGGTTCTTGATGTAGTTTCCTGCATCTTCGAATGTATTTGGTCCTTAGTAAACAAAAAAAAAATTAAGAAACAAACGTTAATTGCATATTATAATGAATAAGACTCTAAGTACTAGCTAGCTTTAGAACTGTTCTTTTTGTGTTCCTATTTTATATATGAAAGCTTGATGTATATCATCCTGATTGCAAATTCAAGATTTCAAGTGTCAGTTTTAGGATTTGCATGGTATCTACTTGGTGCTGGGAACTGTCAGTTCCACTGGGGACATCTGACCACTAAAGTGAGGCATCAGAAAGCTCAAAATTCTGTGGAAATTCTAACATGCTTACACAAGAGTGATGCACACACACACACACACACACATACACACACACATGCACCCACACAATGGTGTATATTGTGTTCCTGTGTGTATTTGTGTGCTTTAACACAAACTAAAAGAGAAAAACAATGGGTAATATCGATGACTAGGTTGCAGAATGAGGAAATATTTGACCTGGGCCTTGAGAGACAGTTTAGAAGAGAGAGGAGAATGATCTCTACACTGCTGACCCCCCAATGCCTTCAAGGTACTGTTGGGAAATGGTTTGAAATGTGAAGGATCTGGTCAAATGGAAATGAATGACTTTTGTAGACCAGGTGCTATAGAAGATTATAGGCTATGTCACCCAGTAAACACAGGAGCAGAGATGAGACTGGAAGGCTATAGAGAGCCGTTCTTGACTCGTGCTATAATAAAGCAATATGCAAGGAAAGCTGTGCTTGAGAAAGTTTCCTAGAAGGACATGCAGATCAGTTAGGGAAGAGCAGACATGAAATAAGGAGGTGGACAAATACAGAGCTGCTATTTGTAGGGAACTGAGTATCCTTACCTCAGAATGTACATAAGGAGCATACAGCTGGAAGGACCCTAAAGATTGTCCACTGAGATGAAACAATTTCCTTCCTTACTTATTACTAGGAGTAAAATTCTATGAGGAGCAATTTTCAAAATGGCTGAGCTTGGCAGAGTGCTGGACTAGAACACAAGACCCTGAGTTCAACCTCCGGCCTTACTAATACATGAATAAACAAATAAACAAACAAATAGAAATACAATAAGATAAATGATATACAACATTCAAAACTAAGAATATCAGATATCAACAATAATAGGAATTCATAGGAACTGCTTTTATTGCTGGTGGGAATGCAAAACGCTACAGTCACTTTGGAAGGCCACATTATAATTTCAGCATTTTGAAATTTGGGAAAATGTGAAGTGTAATATGTTTAAAACATCAGTAGCTTGTAGGGTTTAGAAGGAGAGGGATAGCATAAATATGTGTAGACTAGGGAATTTTTAGGACAACAGAATTGTACCTTGGATCTCAAAAGTTCCCCCAAAGCCTGTGTATTACCAGCTTGGTCCCTAACTTGGCAGCACTGGAGGTGGTAGGAACTCATGAGCTGGGCCCAGTGGGAGGTCCTGGTTGCATGAAGTTAACAGGCTTCCTAAGCTACACACACTAGCCGCAGACTCAAATGTACCTAGGAAAACTGACCGTAGATTGAATCCTCACAAATTGTGAGATAAAATAAAGATTTCCTCTTTATAAGTTGATTTACCTCAGGCATTTGTTATTGTAACAGGAAATGATTAACAAGTGGATACATAGCAAGCATTTAGCAAAACACAGAGCTACACTACACAAAGGGCAAACCTTAAACTGTAGACTTTGGTTACTTGTGTGTCAACAGCATTACATTAATTATAATAAGTACACTACATCAATGCAAGATGTCAATAACAGGAAACTATGGGAGGGACAAGCAGGGACTTGTATAAAATCTGTGTAGTTTCATAAAAGAGTTACTTTTTCTGTAAACTAAAAATCTGTTCCAAGAAACTCTGTTAATTCAATATATATCTTAACAATGAGTACATTTGATTTACAATATAATTGTAGATTAATGCTTGTATTTATCACATGGTAAAAGTATAAGCATTTAAATGATGTTTGTGATTACAGAATGATGACATTCACATTAAATTTAGTTTAACTAGCACAAATATCCATTTTTGACACAAGGCCATGGTCCCAGTACATTGGATACCTCAAGGGGGTGAAATTGGACCTATAGTTTCATTTAAATTATAAACATTTACATTTTAGATAATTTCATTTGCAATAGAGTATCCAAGTAGTTTTTTTTTTAAAAAAAGTAATTTCTAAAAGCAAATAAAACCTTTGGTGGAACTTGGCCTTCACAGTTACTGACTGACAGAATCAGCACTGAAATGCTGGGACCTCAAGATTGCAGAGGGAGAAATCCACTCTTCTCAGATTTATTCTTGCTGTTCATAGGCCATGGTGCAGACACTAAAGGGCAGCTGAGCTCCAACACAGTATTGCAAGCTCTCATTAGGCTGTGCACTAAACATGTCCATTTGGGAAACAGTGGCATTCCTATCATAATACTGAAGTATCATTTGATGCATATGTAGAGTAACAACTCTTTCCCATCTAACAGTTTGCTTTTTAAATCCTTTGGGGTTTGCTTTCAATTTATTCAGTATAGAGAAGATTCTTCTTTATTTGCAACTTTCATTCAGTTTGAATCATACTCATAACTCAAACATGATCATATGTTTAATCATTATGAAATATTATTAAGACCTAGATCAGAGGGCTGTGGAGATGGCTTGGTTGGTAAAGTAATTGCCATGCAAGTAAGAGAACCTGAGTCAGGATTCTCAGAACCCAAACCAGGTGTAGCAGTGTGCTACTGTATCCAGAGCTCTGGGGTGAGGGGTGAGGAGAGATAGGTAGATCTCTAAGGTCCTTGGCCAGCTAGTCTAGCTTCAGGTTCAGTGTGAGAACTTGTATCAAAGAAATAAAAAGGAACACCTGATCACAATAAATGATTTTAAAAGATAATTTTCAGTATTTCAAGCCAGGCAAAAATCCCAGCATAGCAACATAGGCTTGGTGAAGTGGGTAAGAAATTCCAACCTAACCTAAGGTACTTTTGAAAACTTATGGTGTCTGGAAGGGGGAGAGACAGTCTCTTTCACGGATAAGACTCTGAATAGGTTAACCAGTAGGTGGACCCATACTGAAGGACACCTGGGAACATGTTAGCCTCTGAAGGCCTTATTGTGTATATTTCTGTCTCTCTCTCTCTCTCTCTCTCTCTATCTATCTATCTATCTATCTATCTATCTATCTATCTATCTATAGAGTACATTAAATTAGGCAGTAAGGGGTGATGCAGTTAAGGGAGGGGATATAAAGACCATCATATTATGGTGTACAATAATCTCAAAGAGTCAATAAAAAGTTAAAAAATGGTAAAGGAGGAGACTGATCAAAGGAAGACATCTGATGTTAGCCCTGGGCCTCCATATATGTGGGTGCACCGGCAAACACATTTGCACATACCCACAGTGACAAATAACCCCCCCCTACACACACATACCAAGATCCAGATAGGAAAATATCTGTCTTGCAGCTGTTTAGTATTACAGAAGTGTAGGGAAAGAAGGATACCTGTGTATTCTGGAAAGCAGATGCTGAGATGCACCTTGGTCACTTTTTCCTGGAAGAGATCTTTCTTGTTAAGAAATAGAACAATGGAGGTGGTTGCAAAATACTTGTGGTTACAGATGCTGTTGAACAGGTGAAGGCTTTCATGCATTCTGTTCTGTTAGGTGCAAAGGAAGAGATACATAAGATTACTACCTGCAGAATCTTAGCATGGGCAAGGCAGACAAGGATCTAGAAATAATATGAATCTATAAAGTCGCCTTTGAGTTGGGAAGTGCATTATCAATACTGGACAGCACAATTTTTGCTTTGACATTGGCCTGTATATATTTCAGACTTACCACTTCTTCATCTTCCACGAGGACCATGTCATAGGCACTAAGTGCTGCACAAAATATAATGCACGTCACTCCTTCAAAGCAGTGAATCCATTTCTTTCTCTCTGATCTCTGGCCACCTACATCAAACATTCTTTAAAAAGATCAAACGAATAATGAATCCTCTAAAAGTTGCAGAAAGCTTGACACTAAGAGTTGTGACTTAATATTTCAATATTCTTAAAATGCACTCTTTAATTTTGTTGGTAAATCTAAGTCAATCACTTTGCAACTGAAGGATTATAGAGAGAGAACTTCTTTCCCTTTACACAGAATTTCAGTGAAATAATCCCTAAACTAGATTAAGCAATTGGAAATTTTAAAGCAGTTTGAAGGTTAGTAAAATTTTAGCATTTGAAGATTTTTCTTTAAAATTTGTACATATTCTCAAGAATGAATACAGTCTGGAAGAAGATTGGCGTCGAAGAATGAATACAGTCTGGAAGAAGACTGGCGTGGTGTCCTCACTCTGCCCTCTTCCTATATTCCCTTTTTTTATTCAAACGATGTTTGCTTCACTTCTGTCTACTGACAATGCTTGAGATCTGCGTATATGAAGATGGGAAGATATGATCACTTATTCCAAAGAGCTTGCTGGCTGGCAGAGAGATATGCAGGCAAATGATCATAATATTACATAACTAAGTATTCTAACATTCAAAAGTATGTCAGTAAGGGTTAAATCACCCGAGGAATCATGGAAATCATTCACAGGGAATGTTTGAACACATATTCTCACTTCTCCATTATTTAGTTGGTAAAAGTTGTTGTCGTGGTCAGAACAAAACGCTGAAGTTGTTCGTATTTCCCCTTTAGAGCTCTTTCGCTTCTCTCCAAGTATTACACATCTAAAAAGCGATCTCTACCCCTTTCTTTCTAACTCTTCTCTGTTCTGAATCACCCACATTTCCATCCACTTCTGTGAAAACATTGGAGCTGTTGCAGCCTCCAGAGACTCTCACATTACTCTCGTTTTTGTTTAAATATGTTTGATGTTTTAATGATTGTAATAAGTTATTTAATATACAGCTTTGCTACTTGCAACCTTTCCCTGGATACTCCTTCCCTTAGAACAACTCACAAACCTGTGATGACCCTCAAGACCACAGTAGCTCTCATTTCCTCGACTCCAGTTGAATCATGGTGTTTAGTTCCTTCGTTATACATCTAGATTCTTGCCAGTTCAAAACTTTTGCATGAGCTATCTTTGTCCTATGACAAGTGGTTTTTGTTCTTTCAATTAATCTTGTTTCTGAGACAGGGTCTCCCGTAGCCCAGTCTGGCCTTGAACTCAGTGTGTAGCTGAGGCTTCCTTTCTCATCTCAGTCCTCCTGCATCCACTTTCTGGGTGCTGGTGAAAGGGTTGCAGCACCACACCTGGCTTTCTTTTTTCCATTTATTACTGCTTATTCCTAAACTTTCAAGTCTTTCTATCAATGTCTCTCATTTACAGAGGAACTTTTCTGAGGATTCATGTAAATATATTTGTCTTCATTCTTGCTTACTAAAATGGTCCACTTTTTTTCTTTTGTTTTTGATTTGAGAATCATTCCAACAGAGAATTAGCAAGAATTTTTATGTTTAACATCTACCGTCTCCCTAATAGGATAGCAGTTTGATGAGGCAGGGGCGTTCTGTTAGCAATTGCTTCATTTTGGCTACCTAGCACCATGCCTGACACATAGTCCACATGCAATAAATATTTGCTGAATAAGTGAACAGAATCCATGTTAACAAAGTGTAGGGACAATTTTTACAGAAAGCAATGTAAGCAATACCTAGGCATGAAGGAACAGAACATGTTTACTGTAAATTACTATTTTAGAAGCAGGAAGGTAAGAAAACATTGAGATGTCTGACTTAACAACTATAATATTCTCCTTAATTCTCGTTGATTGTCCTTTTAAGAAATGTCTATGGAATGTTTGTTTGTTTGTTTGTTTTTACACAAGTTACCAAAGCTTTAGCCTCAACAAGTTTCTAATTTGGTGACAGTCATGATGGTTTGTATGCTTGTGAGCATATGTGTTTAAAACAGTTTTAACATATCCACATTGATGGAGTAGGGGAGAGCTGTGAGTGAAATGCAGTAAAATTTAAAGATAAAATAGTCCAATATGCAAAAATCTAAGCAGATGAGAAATGGAATTTAGCAGGTATTTGGAGGAAACAGTTTCCAGGGGAAGGGAAGAGAGGAAAATGCAAGAGCAAATATCCAGAGGAGTCCAAGTGAGTTCGGCTTGGTGGGCAGTAGTAGATTAACCACATCCATCATGGACACTTAGATTATATTGCAGTCATTGGAGGCCTGTGAGATATTGTAAGGACATTGCCATTGTTTATTAGGGTTGGTTTTTTTTTTTTTGGTTTTTTTGAAGCAGAGTCTCCCTGTAGCCCCAGCTGTCCTGGAACTCACTATGTAGACCAGGCTGGCCTTGAACTCATAGAGATCTGCCTGCCTCTGCCTCCCAAGTGCTGGGATTACAGGCGTGTGCCACCACGCCTGGCTATGACTCATTATTTTTAAGCATTATCTGTAGGGATTATCTATGGTAGCTGGGCATCTGTCTCTGCCTCCCCCTTGTGTTCACTTGCTGTGTGGTTTCTGAAAGGGGAGCAGGACCCCCGCATCAGCACCTGCCAGATGTGAGCCAGCATTCACGTTAGGAGACTCAGGAAACAGGCCTGTGATTTCTTACCCAGTTGGCACAGTGGTCATTTCTGGATACTGCTGGAACTCACTATGTAGACCAGGCTGGCCTTGAACTCATAGAGATCTGCCTGCCTCTGCCTCCCAAGTGCTGGGATTACAGGCGTGTGCCACCACGCCTGGCTATTAGTATTTTATTGTATTAAGGTCACTTTAATCTATGGACAGAAGAAAGAATTGATAGTGTAGAGACAAAAAACTAAGCTAGAGGGCAGTTATAATATTTGAGACTAAGAAAAGCATTCAGACCAAACAAGCCTAGAGAGTGGTAGATAATACTAAGCATAATAAACATCAGCTGATTTATTGAAGATAATCAGAATTATAATACTTTGACTGGGTGTGGTAATACAAACAAGTCTGTAATACCAGCACTCTGGAGACTTAGTAGGAGGAAAAGAGCAAATTCTAGGCCAGCACAGTCTACACAATGAGTTCAAGCCCAGCCAGGACTACATAGTGAGATTATGGCTCAATGAAGAAAGAAAAAGTGCACAATACTTTGTACTTCTCATTTCCCATGTAAACTAAGTAGAGAACAGATAAATAAACTGAAATATCAGTAATCATGGAACTGGAAACTTTGGGGCAAGGAAAAAAATATTGTTCAAACCCCAAATCCCCCAAGCCAAACCCCAAACTGTGTCACATTCATGAATAGAGAGGAACCCTTGACTCAGAGGCCTGGAAGGATGAACTTATAGGTACAGTTATTTCTATCTTCCAGATGTACTTAAACAACTTGCTCCAGGCTGATTAGTTCCCTTAATATTTGTTGAGGTTGCTATATTTAGGCAGCAGGACTGACTATATGATAGCAATTGTGTGTGTTGTTTTTCCTCTTATATAAAGCTGTTTACTTAAACTAGGGATCTCTAACTAGTCTTAGTCTCTAGAATACATTCTCAAATCTGGTAGGCCAGAATGGTATTTGTGTAACTATCTCTTTCTCCCCAGGTTACCTAGCAGGCTGTTGACAGATAAGTCACTGGGCAGAAATGCAAAACTCCTTCTGAGAGGCTTTCTCTATTCTTTCAATGAGATAGTGCAGATCTTCTAGTCCAGGTGTCGTACATACTCTTCACTTGCTTATTTGGTAACATGCTATGTATCATTCTTACTTCTTGGCAAAGAAATGTGCTACTGTGATTGAACGAATATGCATTAATGTGTGACTTTTGGTGAACTGACTGTAGAATTCATATCAGTAGGATTGCATTCATGGTGGGTGGGCTTTTCACATAAAAACTATTACTGTGTGTCGTGTCCACTAAATTGTAACAGATAAGAACCTCTATAGTTCTAGCTTCTTCTTATGCTCTTATCCTCTCAATAATTGCTTAATGGGAAACTAACTGATTATGAACCCATATGAACATTTGATGTAGCTAGCATAGCATAATGTTTTCTTTCCACATTAGAAATGTCATGCTATGGGAATTTCAATTCTCTCCACTTAGCAGGACTTGAATTTGCTGCCTCGTTAGCATTGACTTCTGTCTCCTTTAATTATATTTTATGCACAACTGTCTATTGTGCCCTATTCTGACTGATACTTTCTTCTTAAATTTTCAATCAAAGTGTATTCTAATCTTTGAAGTCTGAGAAAATCCTTCCCTCTGACCAAATAACTGCTCAAATTCATTGCCTGTTGCCAAGTATTTTACTTCAGAAAGAGAGACCTTATTTCTCTCATTAAGACTTCCATCTTTGGCACAGGTTCCATCAGTAGATAAATGATAATAAGGATGATCAAGGCGTGGGAATCTGAACATGAATTTATGACATAAATCCCTCAGAATAATGAAGATGAACTTCAAAAAATTCTGCATGTTTATGTTCTGAATATGCATTCCTTCAAATTCATTAGCAGAGTCATCCCAAGTAGCTCTCCTCCAACTTGAAGCATTGAAGAATCTGAGGCGACTATCAAGGTAAAAGCAAGCCAACTTCCTCACTGGTTGTGTCCTTACCTCCTCTGAGAAGTCAATAACTTGACAGCCAACTCGTGAGTTATTATGCCAGCTATAATTATCCTTTTCAGGTAAAATTAAACAGTAAAGATATAATAATAGCTAGAATAACACTTTATACTTTTATAAAGATCATAGTAAAATATTTTGTTTTCGCTGTCAAGCAAATTCATTACTATATCTTTGTAAATGATAACAATTGAAAAAAATTTTTAATTAATTTTTTTAAAAAAATTTTGTGTGTATGCGTGTATTGCCTGCATGTAGGTAAGTGCACTCATGTCGTGCAATGCCTGCAGAGGTCAGAAGAGGCTGTTGGATCCCCTGGGACTGAAGTTACAGACAGTTCTTAGCTGCTATGTGGGTGCTGGGATTTGAACCTGGGTTTTCTGCAAGAACAGCTAGTGTTCT